AATTGGTCCAAATCATATGATCTTCATATGATTTATATAAATAATTTATGATACCTAATTTTTAAACATATATATCTCAATCAATTTTTAATCAATTTTAATAAATTTACTATCATTAGAATCAAAAAAACATATTCTACGATTTTTAATTAATATTTAAAAGCTGTTTACTTAAGAAAATATTTTTTTATTTTTAATTAAATAAAAACTTACCAAAAGTTTTATATATAATTTGAAAATCATATACTCTATCCTTAAACTATTGCAATTGAGTAATTAATGCAATTAATAGAAAAACAAATTATTGAAATTCATTATAAAGTGTGATTCTAAATTTTAGCTATTCAGAGTAACTGAAAAAAGACAGTTTGAATTCCAAAATTTTAATTTTAATAAGAACTTAGTTAGTTTGGTTAATTCTGACTAATTAATATTTTACTAATCTATTAGGTAAAATTCATAATAATACCCAATTGTATTAAATATAATTTTAAATAAGTCAAGCATATTAGGCAATACATATTATCTTGTTTATATTAACCTACTTGGATTAGATAATTATATTAATATATGTGAGAATTGATAACAGTAGGATAGTTTTAATATAACCTAAGTTTATTTGTTCTTATATAAAAAGATATTAACAGATGTAATCTATATAATTATATAATTTGAATATATATATATAATTTCTTAATTTATTAGAACAAAATTAATATAATAAATAAATATTTACTGTAATTTTAATTTGCAACTAATAAATATTAGCACCAAGAAATTAAATTCTAAAATCATTAGTGAAATGCACAAATAAGATTTATATTAAATAATGATAAACTTGTTTTTTGATCTAAGTACATATATATTTGATATTATAATAAAAGCTATTATGTTGCATGAGCAATTTTATTATATAATTTATATACTAAAGCATGTTTAAGCATGATAAGTAAATTATACATCAGTTTGAGGTAAGGCATATCCAAAAATTTTACTATGTTATTAATATCTAAAAACTCAATTCTAGTCTCTATTTTAAACTATATATAACATATACATGACTAAAAGCTATCTTGATTTCAGGATTTCATGTTCAGATTTATAAACATTTTTGTAATATATAAAAAGATAAAATTATAAATTCCACAATATAAATATATTTATCTATTTCATAATTAATTTTTTTTTATTTTACCAAAAATTCACTATGAGTAATTTTTGGGTCTTTTTTTTTATTATTATTTAATTTATTTTGATTTAATATTGATTCTAGAGGATCAACATCATCTTGATTTTCCTCAATATTAAAATAAAGTGTTTGATTTAATAGCTGCTCAAAAACAATATATGTTTGCTGATTCTGAATTTAATATTTTTGATCCTATTAAAATCTCCTAAAATTTTTACTAAAGTCAAATAGGCTGACTGGTCATAAAATCTATATTTATATACTCATAAATTGTTAAAAAATTGGTAAATATGTTCTGCAACAATGGCAACAAATTGACTTTTAGTACATAAAATAGATAATACTTTTTACTCTATTTTGGTAAAACTTTTTTTTTTTTTTGCTTTTGCTAAGACCATAGTTATCAGTAGCTATTGCCTTTATTGTATTTTAATTATGATTACATAACTTGTACAAGGTGAGTATACAACTAGC